CCCCAAAACCCCAAAACCCCAAAACCCCAAAACCCCAAAACCCCAAGATCTATTCTAAAGATTGGTTTGATTGACTACATCACAATTTCTAAATTATAAGTAATACAATCTCACTTAAATACTGGTCCTTCACGAATTTGATTGGGTTTGTGCGAGGGGCTGGCTTTCGCTCTGGGGTTAGTAGGCTAGCGGGATCTGACACTGCAGGATCGGGTGACTAGAAGGGTTATGCAGAAATTACAACTGGGAGTTTGAGTTGATCAGTAATGAATCCTGAAACTTCATCGGCAGCCAGCTGGAAGTCTAGCTTGGCAAAGATGTTGATGGATTTGAGAGCCATTTTGTGGGAAGACTGTAGGTTTGAAGGATCTCCAAGTGAGAACTGAATGAAGGAAATGAATTTGTACAGATTTGCTCGGAAGAGGTTTGACATTTCGGACTTGTTGCGGCAGATTTTATATATTGTGTTGTTCTTCATGAATTTGTTGCTAATACTCACTTATTTATCATTAATTTAAGCAATAGCAAACACTAAAACCTCCTTAACGACTGTATTTATTGTCACCAGAACACCCAACCATTTCTCAACAGAACCATCCCAAACAAGACTAAACCCCTACTCATAACTTAATTTCCCTAACTCCCCAATCCCTTCCTAACCCTTTAAAACTTTTATAAATCCTAAGTTCATCCGAAACCTGTTTAGTCCTACACCCAAAATTACCCCTCAGGTCCTTCTTCCCAAAATCCCCACTTAAAATTCCTTCTGAAATTCCAACTTAACCTATTCGCCTAATTTTGTACTGGAATTGCCCAATAAGCTGCCGGTCAAATATTTTATTGCGAGATGGAATATCAGTAAATCAAAGAATACTTACAGAATCAGGTTGACGATGTAGTAAAGAATCAGTAATTCGATGTTACTGAGAGAGGCAGAGTTGGACTTCATGGTATTGAGTCTCTGAAATCCATATGAACTATCGATATCTGATTGACTATCTTGGTCGAAATTTATGGCTAAATATAATAGCAGAGACTTACTCTCTTTGCTGGGAATAATTTTCATTAGGACTGTTCCAATAGATGCTCTATTTATTTGCCTCTGAGAACTTCTTCTGCAAGATCTAATGTCTATATCTCTGTAGATGCATGCGAGGATATTAACTTCCATTGCACTAAATCTCTCTTTGGTCGCTAATGTTTTCTTTTCATGGTAAATTTCCTCACAAAGATCCTTTAGCAAGTCTCAGCTTCTTTGATGGTACTCATATTTGAGAAAAGGCTGTGAATCAAGCATTTTACAGGCACGAAATGTCATATATGGCTGTAGACTAAATATAAACTCTCCTCTTTTGCTAATTTTATAGAGTAACAAGCTTGATTTTATGAGTTCTTCTTTCCATGGTATCCATGTGGCATCTCCCCAGAGAACATTCAAGTCACTTTCTCTGACTCCATCTGGAAACAGGCCGAGCATTTGGAACAGTTCAACAGCTTTGGGTGCAGTTTCTTGGAGACTTTCGATGGCTACATCAAAGGTAATCATTTGGAAATTAGAGTTGCTCTCACTGCTAGCTAAGCTGTTCCTATCTTGTGATTCAGAATAAATCCCTTTAAACATTGGCGTTTCTGTCGAATTTATACTATTTAAATACTTTGTAGACTGCTTCAAGAGAATTAGTTCTTAAGAGAGATGCTGTCATTGATAAGTTCTGAGGGTTCCCTCCAAGTAAAATGAGCAATGGATGAGTACTCAGGCTTTTAACCATACCTGTTGAGGAACGGCTTGATTGTAGAAGAGACTTTATCTCATCGTTTGTGATCTCTCTTGGAGATTTATTCATTAAGCAGAGTATTGAAGCTTCTGGAGTCAGACCTTCTAGATATAATGACTTCTCTGTGCTTCTTGAATTAAGACCTAGTGAGATCCTTGATGTAACCAAGATCTTAACTTCACTGCAAGTGTCAATGATGAGATCAACTTCGTTAACAAAATTTGTTCTGTCTGATTCGAGTGGGTCTTCTCAGTTATCAAGAATTACCAAGATTTGCTTGTTTTTGAGGAACCCTTGCACAAATATGTTGTCATCAATGCTTGGATCTCTGGTTTTATACTCTTCAAGAATAGATTTGCATTGAGTTCTAATTTTAAGACTGAGTTTTGACAAGAACATTTGTGCTGATTCACAGCCATGCAAGTTAATATACACCATTCCATCTGGAAATTTTTGTCTTTCTTTAAGATAGTGAACAAGATTCATTGCTAGTGTAGTCTTTCCCATACCAGGAGGCCCAATGATAGACACAAGTCTATGAGTACTAAGATAACCAATGATGTCATACATTTCTTGTTGACGACCAAAGAAGAAATCTGGCTTTGAAGGGATGGACAGAATACTTGGTTCTGGGCTAAGATTGAGTAAATCTCCTGGCTTAATGTTGGTGATCGCTTGGCAAACATGGGAGGTTTGGCAGCAAGAATACATATCATCATCACCATCTTGATCTTGAATTAGCAATATAAATTTGTTTGCTTCAGCCTCTTTAATGACCTTCTTTACTTCGTCTTTAGCAATCTGGAATGAAGTGCATACATTGTAATTCTTTACAAAGAGTGTCTGGTAAAACACTTTTGAGAAAAGCAAACATGATTTATCACCAATCTTCTGGCCTTGCATAATGCAGACTACATGTTTTGCTCCAGCATTTAGAAATACCTCACCTGCGAATTGGGATTGACAAGAAGCAACCACTACTACTTCAAGTTGGGTTTGTGTTGTCTTGATCAAATCTTTGAGATCTTGTTCAAACAGATGATAAACCATAGAGTTTTCATCTTCAAAAAGGAGGATATTTCCTTTATCTTTCCCACTTCGATATCTGAGCCCCATGTATTCAGGTGTATTGTCGATGCCATGGCCTGAGAAATGTAAGGCGACGGGTCGATCTGTGAGCACATTTCTTAAATTGCTCGGAGTTGCCACAACTGACTTATACTTCATTTCGTACCTCATTTCACTACAAACTTTGATGATACCATCGATTTCAGATTGGCAGTCTAGCTGCATGACATTTTCTGTTTTTCCGTTAAACTTACGGATCAGAGGAGAAGAAAACATGAAAGCAAGGTGAAGCCGAGAGCCAGCCATATCCAGAGGAACAAAGCTGTTCTCGCTTGTTAGCTTTTCAATCTGAAGAGTTTTGACATTGAGAGCTCTCTTGGCAAGTCTAAGCTTCTCTTTCTGGATCTCTGCTGTTTTCCCAAGATTATTCAATTTTTCCAACAACTGACTTGAATCAACTTTGGGGATCGATGAACCTATCTTGCTCTGGTATTCTTCAAGTACACTAAAATACAACTTTTGAATTTTTTCTCAGTAATAATAGTAACAATAGGATTTTTAAGGAAAATTACATCAGGATAAGGCTGAGCATTATTAAATTTCTTAAATTTCAGATGGGGAATAATTCACAGTAAATTTATATTCTGATTGTTGTTTTTCAGAATATGAATGATTCATATAAAATTTCTGAAATTTTATATAATTCTTTTGCCAAGTTACTCTGTGCAAAATTAAAAACTCTCAAAAATTATAAAAACCAGTGAGCAGTTGTAGTTACATTTTCAAGATTTCTTCAATCTCTGGAAACTCATTGTTCAACACATTGATTTCATCATCTGTGATGAATTGTTCAATATCAGGACTTGTGTGGGTAAACTCATCTATAAGGCTGATATAGTTGTTATTAAACCATTGAATTACCTAACGAAACGACTTCTCTGACCACTGGCATCTTATTTTCTTCCTTTTGAGTGTCATTGTCATCATCTGAGGAGCTAAAGAGGTGAGAGTCATTTTCCATGGACTCAAGACTCTCAAAATTTCCTTGTGTGATATTAATTTTAGAGTTATGTTTTCTCTCGACAATGACTTTTTCTTCTTGTTTAGGCAGGTTTGGGATATTTTTCAGTGATTCCATAACCTGTTTCAAAGCTTTAAGAGTCTCTAGGATATGCTTCTCCACTCCTGAGGGCTCTTGGAGTTGCTCCAAATCCTTTAGGCTCACTCAAACTTGCTCTTGGCCTGGATTTGCAGTCTGAAATGTGATCTGCTGGTTCTGGAAATTCAAATTGAAATTGAGTGAGAGTCCGTTGTATTTATAATGAGACAACCTCTTGTAAGCTGAAGAGCAGAATTGGGAAATTTGTTGTAACGGAGTCCCTGGAATTGTTTTGGGAGTTTCTAAGCTCTTAATGGAATCTCTGTCGTTGGATTGAGCTGTTTTTGAATGGAATAGTCTCTTTTTGGATATGGCTAGATTTTGGAATTATGAAGTGTTTTTGGGTGAGAAAAGTTCTTGGGAATTTGGATTCTACTATTTTTAGGAAAGTGAAAATCCTGATAAATAGTTCTTATGATTTTAACAAAGTTGGTTTGAATCTGATGACTCTAATTATAATTATTTGACAATAAAGTTCGAAGGTTGATAATAACTCTGAATCTTACACTAAGAAAATTTAATTTCAATAAATATACTCCCAGCTCCCAAAACAAAGAATTTTAAAGAACTTTGCTATAATCATCAATATATCACAAACAAAAATATCCCTACCTTCTCTATCCGTCAGTCTCCGAATCACTGCTTTTCCTACTATCTTCCTCCATACATCCTTAACACCCACATCCACATCCAATTTCTCTTCCTCAAAATCCCTCAGTCTCTCCTCTGACGCTTCAAGTTCTACCTCACTAATCCTACTTAACCCATAGGTCTCTTGTAAATCCAGTTTGGCTGTACCCTCTCTTTTAGAGTACACTGTCTTGCTGACAAATCTTTGTTTGTAGAACTCTTCGGAGGAATTGACTGTTGTTCTTCCTTCGAAGATGTGCAGTGGGGTGTCTGGGTCAAAGCCAATGAGGTCTTGTCTCTTCCAACCTTCGAAGTCTTCTACTTCGGAGAGAGGAGCGGTCATGCTTTTTGTGATTGTAGTTGGGTCTTTTGTGTGGGTTTTTGATGGTGATTTGGAAGGGTCTGGAGGAGGGTGGCTTAGGGTTGTGCAGAGTGTAGATTTGGATTTAAAGTCTTTGGTGGAGGGGGGTCTTTTGGGGAGTTGGATGTCAGTGTCATTTTGTTTTAGTGAAGGAATGTCGGTTGTACAGCAGTTGCCCATATTTTGGAAGATTATTATTAATTAGGCTTAAATTTATTCTTGGGGTTTTGGGGTTTTGGGGTTTTGGGGTTTTGGGG